TTAATTTATAGTATTATAAGTATATACCGCAGAAGTTTTATACTCAGATATATATAATTCTAAATCTTAAGAAATAATCTTATATTTACAGAATAATAATCCAGAGATATAATAATAAAAAATTACTATTTAATAAAAATAATTAGACTAAAAATATTAAATTATTAAAATAATTAATTATATTTATTTTAAAGACTAATATTATATCTTCTCTTCTAAAATATTATATCAGATATTTATTAAGCTATATTATAATAATCTATTAGCAGAATACTTTAAAAAAATCTGAATAGAAGTACTGCTATATAGAAAATTTTACTAAAACAGATTATAATATAATATAGCTAAATATATTTAAATTTATTTAATATATTAAGAAACTACTGCTTTAAAGTATTAATTATATAGTAATCTTAAATTATTATTAATTCTATTATATCTTTTTATTAAATTAATAATAGATTTTATTACAGAACTGCTCTCTATTATTTAATATAAAAAGATTATTAATACTATTTTAATTATTATTAATTAATTCTTAAAATATTATTTTTTTTTTACTATTCTATTTATAATAACTATCTCAGATCTTGCTGAATTATTCTATAAATAGATTAAATTAATCTTTGAATTCTCAGATAAAATTATATTTAATTAAGAATTAATCTTTATTAGTAAATTCTAATTAAATTTAGTTTATAATAGCTATATAATCTTGAAGCTTTTGACTGTATTTTATTCTTAAATTAATAACTAAATAAAATAGATAAATTAAATATTTAAATATTATTTTTAATATTATTCTAGTTAGTATAATATTAACTGGCTATTAATTCTTTTAAATACTTAATTTATCTATAATAATACAGATAATATAATCACAGACTAATTATCTTATAATATTTTTTATAGCTTTTTACTAAACTTTTATATTAGAATTAAGACTAATTCTCAGCAGTGAGAAGTTTTAGTAATATAAAATAAAATTAAGAAACTTAGAGAAATAAAAGAATAGCTATAAAAGATATAATAAATAGCTATAAAAAAATAAAAAAAATATTATAATAAATATAGAAAGCTATTTTATTTTAAAAAAAAAGATCTAGTTAAGTTATTAACTCAGAACTTATAACTTAAAGAATTAAGAAAGCTGGCTCCGAAGTTTATAAAACTTTTTTAAATTCTTAAATATATTAAATCTTAGATATATTAATTATATTTATCTGAGAAATATAAACAAATCTATAATATATTTTATATCTTTTTATTAAAATTATAGAATACTGAAAAAGATTATAAAAAATTACTTTTAATATCTAAGCTAGATAATAAAGATAAATAAAAAGTTAAAAAAGTCAAAGATTATTAATATTATAACAGTCAGGATTACTATCTAATTAAGTAAAAAGAATAATTAAATAAGTATAATTAATAAATTTCTAATAAAAATATAGAGAATATATTCGAAGCTATAAAATAATACTAGAAATATTATAAGAAATATTATATATTAAAAAGACAGAAGATAATTACTAGTAAATTACTCTATATTTTTAAAAAATAAGTTATAGAAATATTAATCTCTTAATATTTTTTATTAATTATATTATCGCGGATTAAATATATTAATAAATATAAAATTATTCTGCTATAAGATAGCAGAAAATACTTAAATATATTTAGTTATATTTACTATCTATTTATAAAATAAATAATAATAATAATCAGATTTTTTTATTATAGCTTAGAAATATTTATAAAAAAAATAAACTTCAGAAAAAAAATATAGAGATCTATAATTAATTTAATAATATTATTTTTATTATTTAAAGTTAATTTATTATTATTAATATCTGGATATTAAATATATATTATAGCTTTTATTAAATTAAGAAAATTTTACAGAGCAGAAATCTAGTCTATATATCTTAAATTACTAGATAATAAATATAATAATATTTTTATTTTATAAATATAATAATTCTTTAGTAAGATACAAAGATTAGAATAGAGAACTGACTATACTAAAAAAATATAATAGATCTTAATAAACTTAATATACTCGATAATAAATTTCTAACAAAATATTAATAATAAAATCATAAAGATCTTATTTCTTTATTATAATAAGAACTTATATACTTAACAGTCTTGATATTTTTTAATAAGAATTTATAAATATAAGCACTCTTTATACTATCAAATATTTTTATAAGAATATAAATTTCTTTACGGATAGTTTGCTTAATATTATTATTTTAATATTTTTTCTTTAGAATCAGAGTAGCTTATTTAATAATCTTTATAAAATTATAAATATTTTCTAGCAGATTAATTACAGACTTGAGAGATATTAATAAATTATATATATATAATATAGAGTATATAAAATTTATAGAATTATAAATATTTTTTCTCGCAGAATAAAAATAATATAGAATAGATATTTTTATATTTAATAAATAATTAATATTATACAGAGCACTCTTCTTAGAATTAAAATTATTATTTATATATCTTAGACAGTATATACAGAAGTTATAGCAGATTTTGATAGAAATATTTTATTTAAAATATACTATTCTCTTTGCTATTATAAAGTAATTAAAAATAAGATTAATATCTAACAAAAAAGAGAATAACAGTAATATAATATAGATAAAAATAACAAAGATTATATAAAATAACAAAGAAATATAAAGAAAATAATTATAAATTACTAAAAAAATAATAATCACAAAGTAGAAGAGAAGAAAAAAGAGAAATAATATAAAAGATTCTTTTATTTATATTTCTTCGCAGGAGATTTATCTATATAAATATAATATAAAAGATTCTTTTATTTATACTTCTTCGCAGGAGATTTATCTATATAAATATAATTAAATATTTATAAAGCTATATAGAAATAGTATATAATTCTATTTATACTATATATTCTGCAAGTTTTTTATCTTTTATTATTAAATTTTTACTATTCTAAATTAGAAATATATAAGACTATCTTTAACACTTGAGTTAGATAACTTATTCCAGTAAAGAAGAGTATTATTTATAATAAAATAATCTAGCTATTAAAATAAAGATTATTGAGATAATATATTATAGTAATTATAAGAGTTATATTATCAAGATAATATATTATAGTAATTATAAAAATTATAAAATTATTAATAATAATTCTATATCTCTCTAATATTTATAAGATACTAATCTCTTTATAAGAAGCTACTAATTCTTCAAGAATCAGTCTATCTTATAAATATAGATTATCTTTGTTATTATTAAATAAATACACGGTGTTTCATAGTTGATTCCTTACCTAGTTGACAGGCTTTCTACCCTGACAAGTAGATCCTATCACAATTACAGATATTATAGGCGGTTAAAACAGTGTTATTATTATAGATATTGCAGATATTATAGATATTATAGATATTGCAGATATTACAGGCGTTGCAGGCATTGCAGATAATTAAAACAGTGTTATTATCTGTATAGATATAGATATATATAAATTAAAATATAATATAGAAGACAGAGATATTAAAGTAGTTAAAAAAAAATTTTTAATTTTAAATTAAAATATTTAAGCTACTATTTTATCTCTAGATATCTAAATTTTAAAAAAAGATTTTAACTATAATTTCTAATTCTTCTTATTTTTTTATTTTTTTTTATATATAATATCTTAATTTTTATATAATCTTTTTTTAATAATCTTCTCTGTTTAGTATTGCTCTGTAAGTCTCTGTATAATATATATTTTTATAATATTATATATATAGTTCAGCGAGAATTTAAAGATATTATATAAAATAATTTAAGAGATAACTTAATAAGATACTTAAATTATTATATTTAAATATATAAAAGATCTTAGTAAGTCAAGCAGGATTAGATATTACAGATTAATAAATATTAAAAATAAAAAAAATAATAATAAGATATATAATAATCTTTTATTAAATTCAGGCTCTGATTTATTATTTAAGATCTTGATATTTTTTATTTAGATATTTAGAATATATTATTTAAATATACTAGTTATAAAATATAATATATCTAATCTCTGATTAGCTATTTTAAGATTAAAAATATATTAAATTAATTAAAAATAATATTTCTTAAAATATTCCGTGAAACGCGTAAAAATAGCAGTTTTGTTATGGTGCCCGAGGGGGGCGACAGTCCGTTGGGCGGTAGGGGACTCTACTATACCCTACCACTACCCTAGCCAAACCAAACCAAACCAAACCAAACCAGCAAGCACCCCTCCAGTCGGTCCCCTGCTGCCCTCCCCTGCCCTCCCCTGCCCTCCCCTGCCCTCCCCTGCCCTCCCCTCCCCTCCCCTCCACCACCGCATCTCATCCACCAAAGAGAGTCTGGGATCTCTACCCATCTAAACACCAACTTAAGTACCAAATCTATCCAAACAGCTATTTATACCATCTAAATCAAGATCATACATTCTATAAAAAATAGTTAATTCGTCAACGCCCCGATCCCATTCCTGAATCCAATCGAATACGAAAATGAATGAACAAACAAATAACTAAATAAACAAACGAACGAACAAAGAAAAATATTTCCGGCCGGGTTAAATAGAATAGTAACCAGAGAGAGATACCGGACTACTTACAGAGCACGAACACGTTTGATGAAGATCTGGGCGTAGCTGAGCGGGAAGCAGGCAGGCAGGCAGGCAGGCAGGCAGGCAGGTACTTAGAAGGAGGATGTCACTACTGAGGTATATGATATAAGTATAGATGATGGGATCTGTAGTATCTACTTCGGAGAATGGGTCGGGGCTGGTTGATATATATATTTTCTTTGCTGTGGGTATGGCAGACATAAGTGAGCTTGAATTTCATGTACCCAGCTTTTACTTAATGCGATGGTATGGCTTCAGTTGATGTATCTGAAATAGGCTAGAAAGATCACCGGTCAAGTTCCACACCATTATCTACCCTGAACAAAACGCATCCCCCTTCAGAACCTCAGAGATGAAAATCCTCCTCATCGGAGATATCCCCCAACTCCACAGAGGGAAGCCGTTCCATGGGCAACGTCCTCGTCCGCCGCTGGCCCTTGCCCTTTTGCTGGCCCTTGCCCTTTTCAGTCTCCGTCTCCGTCTCCTGGTCAGATAAAGTCTCCAGAGAGGCGGTCGAACTAGAAAGGTCCACAATGAGCGGCTCATCGGGGTAACATGGACTCCAGTCACGGATAGATCGTCTGTACAGGTTATCGAACTCCTCCTGGTGGACGGGGTTAGTGAACCAGCAATGCGAGAGAGCCTGTTCGACGGTCATGCGCCCCCTATCGTCGTAGACGAGAAGACGGTGCACGAAGCTTCTGGCGCGTCGGTTCGCGTTATGCTGTTGCAGGCTTCTCTCGAGCTTGTCGTGGCCTTGGTCTTGGGCCATTTCCATGGCGTACGTGCGGGATGAGTCCTCGCACGAGGTTCGTCCGGTGAGGAGGACGGCGGTCACGCATCCGAGAGACCATAGGTCTACGGATTTGGTGTAGCCTCGGTTTGTAGTGGAGGTGAGGACTTCTCTGGGACAGGGTTAGTGGGGTGATGGTATGGAGGGGGGAGGGGGTGTACTGACGGTGCGCTGTATTCGAAGGTGCCGACCATGGTCGACATGCGTCCAGTGGTGCGGATGGCACAGCCGAAGTCACTGAGCACGACACGACACCCGTCTGCTAGGGATGTCATGAGGATGTTATCCGGTTTCAGGTCCCGGTGGACGATGTTCCGTCGATGCAAGTATTTGAGGGCCATGAGAATCTGGCGAACAATTACCGCAGCCTCGATATTGCTCAGTTTTCCGCCCTTGTACTGGATATACGAGAATAGATCCCCCCCCGGGACCAGTTCTTGTACGAGATATCTGTGACAGTTAGAAAGAAACACACCTGTATATGGGGCCACACTCACATATTAAAAGAAGTCTGAATCACCTTCTCCAGACTGATAATATTCGGCTACCCACACCCCAACCCACATCACATCTATCAGCACTTATCCAACTACCCCAAACCCAACCCCAAGATTAAACAACAAGAAATAAAGACCAACTTACATGACAAAGATCCTTCAACAGGAGCACCTCGCGCTTAATAACCCTCAACTTCTCCTCCAGCTTCCTCCAGAACCCCTCATACCGTTTCCCCGTCACGAGCGCTGACCCCGCGTACGCGTTCACGTTGCCCAAATTCTCTCGAATCGCCGCATCCCTCAACGGCCGAACATCGATAATCTTGCACGCGAGCTGCTTCCCCGTCGCATTTTCATACGCCATGTATACCTGTCCGTAGGCCCCGGCGCCAAGCTTCCGGTGCGTGAGGGAGTATTTCCCGCCGAGGCGCTGCACGTTATCCAGATCCGTCAGTTAGATACACATCCAACCCCTCCACCCCAAACACCCCAAACCCCCCACAACAGCCAAAGCACATACACATGCACATACACAACAATAAAATCCAGCGAGCAAGCGAGCAAGTGAGCGAGCGAATGAATGAAGAACATACATTAACATCCACCCTCGTAATCCTCCCCAACCCATCCCACTCGCCCCCAATAGCGCAGGCACTCAACAAGCGAAACCTGAGATAAACCTGACCGGCAAGCCTGAGGACATCGCCATCACTCAGCAAGAAGCCGCCTTTGCCGGCCATGGGATAGCCGTTCCAGTATGTGCCCGTGGAGGAGATGTCCTCGGCATAGACCAGCGGGGGGGTTTCTTCGGGGTTGTCCGGGTCGACCGTTACCGTGTAGATGTGTAGGTGCTTGCGCGAGATGGTGTGGTTGGGGAGGGTATATTGGCTACACTGGGTTAGCGAAGTGGTGGTATAGGGGAGAGGGGAGGCCGAGAGAAGTGGGGGATGGGCAATGAGCAGAGGGTGGAAGGGGACAGGGAGGGGGGGGAAAGTACCAGTCTGTGCTGGAGCGGCCGACGTAGAGGGGTTTGTCGGTGTAGATGGGGAAGATGTCTTTGCGCTTTTCGAGGAGGGGGTCCCATTGTGAGAGGATGGCGGCGCAGTAGCGGGGGTTGGGGGGAGAGGAAGTCATGGTTTGTGGTTGTATTCCCGGGGAGGGGGGGGGTAGGGATAAAGATAGTAGATACTGTAGGTTCGATGATTGACGCGTGGCTATGGAGGTATGGACAGGATATAGGATTGTGTATGAGTATAGGAGAGTAAGAGAAAGACTGGGTGTGGGATAGGGGTGAGGGGTGAGGCGGAGGGAAGTGGTTGAGTCGGAGGACTGACTGATATTGTTCGTCAGGCTCCTTCCTGCCTGGGTATACCTGAGGAAACTGGCCCCGACTTTGCTGCTGCATATCGACCTGGTTTACCAGTTACCAACAATGAACTGCACTCTCCTCATCGAACTACAGCAACACACTATATCCATTAACGTATAAATCATCAAAACCTAACACTCCGATCCTATCCTATCCTCTATCCTATCACGGGTATCTATCCTATATCCTATCACATCCTGTACTTTATGAAGAAGAAAAGAAAAAGAAAGACAGAAAGCAAAATACCACACAAACTTCATCCGAAATTTGGGATGTATGTACCTATATGATTTGTATGCTCGAAAAAGGCGCCCCACACCCAAAGGACAACTACCACAATCGCATACCAAGCTCGTCAGAAATAAAAAAAAATAATCATCAAGGCAAATAATCTCGAGTCTCAAACGCCCTTGCTGGATGCAGTGATGTAACCGAGTACCAAGTGGGGACCATAACCTTATAAAACAAAATCGCCGAAGTACACAGGTGTGTGTACATGTAGATCTAAAATGCGAGCTCTCCCGACCAGTTGTTCAGCGTGACTTGCGTTTCTTGTCGGAAGTAAAATCCAGGGGTTTGTAGGCTAGCCCCTTGGCTCCTGTCATCCGGATGCGTTGCTCGGTTCGGGACAAGGTACGACCGAGCCCAAGATCTGAATCCGGGGCAAGAGAGACTTCATAGCCATTCACGTAGGACGAGTAAGGCGACTGGCTGCGGGAAAATGAAAAATGAGATGATGCACTGCCTCCGGGGCTGAAGGAGGAGCTCTGAGGCTCGTACGGTGTGGGCCAGCTATCGAGGAGTCTGGGTCCGCTGCGGAGCGACTCGGCGGCAATTCGAGCAGCGGATAAAAGAAGCTCGTCTTCATCAACTTGAACCGACTTTGACGCCTCGGATTTTGGTTCCACGGGCTTCCTGGCCGTCATCGATTCGATCTGTTCTAGAATAGGAAGCTTTGGCAGAGGTTTTGTGGAAGCCTGCGCCAGAGATTTCTTATATGGTGTGGCCGCCGGCTTGGGCACTTTAGCTGCTTTGGGGGCGCCTTCAGTGGGGACGGGTTCTGGCTCCTCCAAACCCCGTTTCCGACTGGCGAGTGTGTTCTCTCGCCGCTTGATGGCCGCGTCTCTCAGAGTAGACAGCCACGCAGTGCGCCGTGAATCTGCATCGGATGCTGAAGGAATTGTTAGCGATCAATACACAGGAAAGAAAGCATTAGGGATGCTTACTAGAAGTTGGCTTTTCATCAACAGACGGAGCCTCCGTTTCAAAGTCACTCAGTTGAAGCGGCGTCTCGGTATCATCCAAAGGCTCATTTAAAACTGCATCTTGGAGAGGGATGTGCGGTCGCTCAAAAGCGCTTGTCTTTTTGAGGCACGATTTGAGAGGAACCTTTTCGGTAGGCGGGGCTTTCTTTTCTACACGTGTTGATGGGTCTTCGGATTTTGTAACGCCGTCTTGACCTTGGGATAAGTTGCCAGACTGTCCAAAGGGCGAAAGACTGGAGAATATAGGGACTTTTTCTAAAACGACGTTAGGGCCTATGCAGACAAGGACGTTTCAGGAGACCATACCATTTTCCTTCGGAGTGGGTTCCGGCGAAAAGAACGATGCCGGTTGCAATGAAGCTGCGTTTCCAGAGGCAGTGCTCTGCTGAGAAAAGCCAAACATAGAGTTTGAGGTTTCGGGCAAAAACGGCAGTTTGCCATTATCTAAAATGCTAGGTTCTGACTCGCTAGCAGTCAACGCCTTGATTTGCTCGGGCTCTGAATCGAAAGAGTAGAAGGCGGCAGTGGCCGGAGATGGGGGGCTTGCTGGAAGCCTGAAAGGCGCAGGTGTGAAAAGAGGGGCTTTTCCTCCAGGTTTAGAGGGCGTATGGTTCGGCGGAGGGGCGAAGATAGAAGGGGGTTGTTGCGTAGCTGGAACGGAAGCGGGAGGGGGAGGGGTGCTGCTTTCTTGTCCTTCGGGGCTCTTTGACAAGCCGAAGGGGGGTGTAACATTTGCGAAGGGGTTTGCAGGCGCAGTAACAGGGGCTGTTGGAGTGCTAGCTGGGGCTTTCGACGGGAAGGAAGATGAGAAAGGACTGCTCGTCGTGGCAGGGGCTGCCGGAGTGCTAGCCGAGCCACTCGACGAGAAAATAGACGGGAATGGACTGCTCGTTGCAGGCGGCTGTGAAGAAGCAGGAGTGGTTGCAGGAGCTGCAGGAGTGCTTGTTTGGCCATTCGACGTGAAGATAGACGAGAAGGGGTTGCTCGCCGCTGCAGGCGGGTGGGAAGAAGCAGACGCCGTTGCAGGGGTTGCCGGGGTGCTAGCTGGACCATTCGACGAGAAAATGGACGGGAAAGGACTGCTCGTCGTCATAGAAGCTGTTGGACTGCCAGCCGAGCTATTCGACGAGAAAACAGACGCGAAAGGATTGCTCGCCGCTGCTGGCGGCTGCGCAGGAGCTGCAGGTTGAGAAAAGAACGTGGGTGGTGGGTTCGAAGTGGCCGTAGCAGGCTGAGAGAACTGCGCGAAAGGGTTGGGAAGGCTAGTCGAAGGGTTGGGTGGGCTTTCCTCCTGCAAAGGCGTTTCGGTCATTTGAACGTTGGAAGCGACGTTATCGTCATCGGTGACAAAAAGAGAGTCATCGTTTGAGAAAGATCCCAGACCTGGAGCAGGCAGTGCAGGAAGGCGCTCGGGCAGAAGGGAGCTGTCGACCATGCCCAGGTTTGCAGCTTCTTTGATATTAAGCCCGAGGATGACTGCGGCCAACGTTCTGCCAGCGCGCTTCGATTCGACGTGGTTTTCCGAAAATGAGTGATCCGATGATGGCTGGAAGGCTGTATAAAGGGTCAGTCGGGAACATGTTAATTTGCGACGGAAATGACCAGGAGATAGATAGGTCTTTCATCCGCGGCTTGAGCGAATGTGACGCTAACTGACGAAAGGTGCGAGGCGAGATCGTTGGCGAGGGTGTAACGTACCAACTGAGTCGACGGGACGGCTGCCCCAGTTGAGATAAAGGTCGCCATTCGCATTTTCTGCAAACGCCAGGTCCTGTTCTTCGCAGAACTTCATGGTCTGTTCGTAATTATCGAAGCAAAGAACTTGGGTCAACTCGTCGACCGTCCACTCCTCATTCTTGTGCTGTTGCGAGGAAGGATAGCGGCAGTATCCCTTCCAGATGGAACGGATGGCGGTCTGGCGCATATGATTGAAGTAGATCTCAGCAACACAGGCCATGAGATACGAGACCCCGGGGGAATCGATCATCCTGAAGAACCGCGTGTAGAACCCTTGCGCGATCGCGTTTGGTCGTTTCGCATCGAGCGTACCCTGGTATTCCCACGTGTTACTAGCCGCAGCGAACAATTCCAATGCGATCTGGACTCGAGGCGAGTTTCGTAGTTCGGCAGGCCATTTTTGGACACGGGCTTCTAGATCAGGTCGTTGGTCGTGGATCGAAAAGATGATGTAGTACGCGCGGAGTTCGTCTTCGTTCGGGAAGGAGATGCGGCCTCTGTTATCGTCGTAGTAGTACATCAGCGACAGCATGGTGTTGTTCAGCTGTTCTCGCTCTTGGTGTCGATCAAAGGGCTCCTCATTCGCCGGGCTAGAGAGTAAATGCAGTGAAACGATGTGAAATCGAGCAATTCGCTCAAGGCACGTTACGGCGATTTTCACATGATCCTCCTGCGTCACTTGCTGCACAGAGAAGTCGTTACGGATCGAACGAGTTCGATCCCACACAAACTTGTGGATGAGACCAAGCGGTTCGGGGCCGTTAATGACGTGCCGGATCAGGTAGTTCATGGTCTGGAGGAGTGTTTTCGGTGTTCGAATATCGGACGGAAGCTGCTCATCGTAGCCAGCTGCGGATCGTCTAAACCGTTTAAGCATCTTCATTTCCATGTTCTGAAGAGAATTCGACGTCGGATGTAGAAACTGATCGAACAATATCAGCATCAAGAAGTTCCACTTCAGCCCACACATGCAAATACCTTTTCGCTTTTGTCCACCATCTTCTGAACGATACGTTCGACTCTTTCGAATTCCGGACACATGCTCGTACAAGTGCCGACAGGCGTGATAGCTTGGTTCAAGGAAGTCGGCATGTTTGGATCGGCCATCTGACCCTCCCTTATAGCCTTCTCACGTTGCTTGGTTCTATCAATCTTGAGTTGCTCATAGCGCTCCGTATAACTGCCCAGGAGGGAAGCATCCTCAACCGGGATGGCAGGTGCGATCGCTCCATTGGCCGACTTCGGCTGTTGTTGTTGCCGTTTGAACGCCGTGTTATTGCCAACGCCATTACCACCCCCGACCGAAGGAGCCCCAAACGGCGTAGAAGCCTTTCCGAAGCCGGCAAAAGGCGATTGTTGCTGCGGGGGCGCTCCGAAGGGGGAAGGTGAGGAGGACGGGGAAGGAGCGGCCGCGGCCTGCTTCAAAGGCGCAAAAGGAGAGGCAGCCGCACCGACCGAACCTGCCTGCGATTCCGAATTCTTATTCCGCCATGTGTTGCTCCCCGGGCCAGCACCTCTTCCCATTCCCCCTCTTCCCTGTCCACGACCGGACCTGGTTGCCGGCGCCCCTCGTCCGCGGCCGCGCAGTCGCGGATCACTTCCGCGGGTCGCATTTGCGTTTTTAGATTGATTGGGGGCGGTCGACAGCCCGGGGAATCCACCGCGTCCACGTCCTGCTGAACCAGCCGACCCATTCTGCTGGCCGAAGCCGAGAAAGGGGCTTGCTGCGCCGGCCATTCTGCCGCGAACAGCGGAAGCGTGGACGGAGCCGATTTCCTCCCAAACGTTTATGATCCGGAAGCTGGCTGTTCAATCGCGTACGGAGTTCCGGTCGAGTGATGGGGGATGCGGTCAACGGGCGTCTGGAGATAACCGCGGAGGGTTGAAAGATGGAGGAACCTAGGTGCGCTATCCTTTCCCAACCATTGGCAGGAGGGTAACGGAGGAGTCAGCTTATATAACGAAATCGGCGAGATATCCCGACGACGCGATGCGATGACGGCAGGGAAAGCACGGGCGCGGAGGGAAACGAGGGAAACGAGGGAAACGTCATCGAAAGTCAGGGCGCGCGGGTCGGAGAAGACGATTGGCGCAGTACCTTTGAGAGCCGGGTAAGAGTTCGAGAGTTATCTTTAGGATGGCGAGACGATAAAATGGCGCAGAGCACGGCTGGGTGGCCTTGGATGTTGCGAAGAAATGCTAACGACCGAAGGATTGTAGGAGTGCTCCGATTCTTGACACCACGGCGAGGGGAGATGCCGATGTCGACTCGGCGGGCGCGTTAAAGGATAAGGGTTGCGAGTGGTGTCAGAAGGCGCAGTTGTCGGTCTTCTGCAGGTCGGATTGCCGTTCAGGATGAAATGAATGGGGTCAAAGGGCGTCTGGTCGTTGACAAGGATGGGATGGGGGGATGAGATGTCTTTGTCTGCGCCTCGAAGCTCCGGGACGACGGCGGGCGGGCGTCAATGCGCGCCAAGCCCCGCCAGGCGCAAGCGCGCGCCTATTCTATTGGTCAATTGCACGGCAGCAACACTACAAAAAAATACTTGCTAACTACAACATGCTACTACCTTGCTTCGGAAATTCGGTTCAAATTTGAGTCTTGAAATACCCAAGTATGCAATTCTGCTTTTTGAGGCCGCCTCATTACTCCACACACAAACGCTAGAACGCTGCTGTCAAATGCACCCGCCCAAAGTCAACAACGCAGCTGGCTGTCTCTAGATCCTTCAACAGCCACCAGCATTTCACCACAAGCGCCCTTGCCCCAAATGTCTATAAACCAGAAACATAAAAACACACAGAATCCAAAAGACCAGAATCAAACACTCACGGACAACAATTGCCGATGAAGTAGAACACAACAAGAACAAATACAAAAAAAACCCATATGTACCCTAAGCCAGACATTATCGTAGGCAGGAAGTAAAGTTGCGTTGCCGAGCGGAGAGCGCTTATCCAGAGACATGTCTCTCTGTCGCGTCACGCATAAACAAACAAACACACAGACAAACAAGAAAGAGAACGGGACAAGAGAAAAGAAAAAAAAATGGGAAAGAAAGAAGTTCATGATATTCGTGCGGATCGTGAAGGTCCAGACAGACAGACAGACAGACAGACAGACAGACAGACAGACAGTACTCTCTCCATCTCTATCTGGACCAAGGGGAAATAATACGCAACTCGGCGGCTCATATCATATCCTATCATACCTGGTCGACCGCATGAGCATAGTGCGGGTGACTCAGGGAGCCGGTGCGGAAGGGATGCCCGCGGGCGCCGGACGGGTCCATGAAGATGGGGCGTTCATGCGAGAGATCAGGCAGGCCATTGATCTCCTGGACATCGGAGGTCGCGCTGATGGGCATCTGGTAGTGGATGGGCTCGGTGGCGGGGGCAGGGTAGTCGAGGGCGCCGAACATGTTGGGTCTGTATGACGGGGTCCAGGAGTCGTAGTGGCTCATCGCGTGCTGCATGGGGAGGGCTGTCGGGCGATGATGATCGGCCGTAGCGGGGTTCGAGAAGGGCGCATGCGTGAGATAGTCGTACGAAGATGCGTGCTGCTCCGTGGGGGTGGTCAATTCGGGAGTGCTCGGGGGCTTGATGGGATGCGAGTAGTCCGTGGAGTAGTCGGGCAGGGAGGTGTAGTATTGGCGGTCGTTTCTGGATGGCTCCCCGAAGCTCAGCGTTTCCGGCATGGGGTAAAGCTGGGTTCTGTCGTCGGCAAGGGGCATGGGACGGGGCGCGGGCATGGTCATGGCGTCCAGGTTGGTGAACGGGGCGGAAATCTCCTCGACTGATGATGTCGGCGTCACGACGTCTTCCTCGGCCTCAATGGGCTCTTCTGCCTCGGGCTCGGCCTTTGCCTCGGCCTCCGTGACTGACTCGGCGTCCCGGTCTCCCTTCGGGTGCGCCTCGCGGTCGACAACGTACATGATGGTGGATGCGTCTGGCGATGGGTTAGGGATAAATGCCAGCAGGCTGGGTTTAGGGGGTATGCTCACCGACTTCACCCCGTTCGAAGCGCTCCTCCATCCCCCGCACCCTGAAGAGTTCTTCGAGGATGGTGAATTTCTCCTGTTCTTTCAGTTGGCGTCTGCAGTCATAGGCAATCTCGCAAAGCTTGGCGGCGGTGATGCCAATCTTGCTAAGCCGGCGAACGATGTGGACGAGAAGCTCGACGCGCTCTGTTATCATTGATGAGTATTCATGCTTCGCAGAGGCCACGGTGCGGCGACTTACCCTCCTTCTTCAGGTGATCCGGCTCGCGGTGCACCACGCTAGCAGGCCACCATTCGGGCTTGGTCTTCTCCGGGTCTCCCTTTGTACCGGGGGGCGCCCCGGGCTTGGGTCTGCCGCCGTTATAGGGGTGGCGCACTTGCTTGCGCGGCTCGATGACCTTGATGAAGGCCTTGCAGACCACTCGGCAGTTGACCTGCTGGAAGTGCCTGAACGAGATCGTGTAGTATTGTTCCATCTTCTCGGAGTCGCCAACCGTGAGCGGCATCTTGTTGTTAACTGATGGGCAAGACGGCTCTTCTGGAATCTCAGCCCTGGAGTTCTGCATAGCGGATGGCGAGTGGTGAGCGTGGATTCTGCGCCTCTTCTCCTGACGGTGGTAGGACATGTCGTCCAAGTGGTCGTAGCTGAGAGCGGCTGGGTTGACGCCTGAATTCCCTGGGTGTTAATGAGCATCATCCTGCTGATTCCTCCTCACGGGGCACGTACTGTGGATGAGGGGCTTCTGGTATCCGATCTTCGCGCCCAGGATCTCCAGGAAGTGGTCGCGCACTTCGGGAGTGAAAACAGTGCCTTGCTGTTCGCGGATCGACTGAGACTCGGACACCCGGAGCTTGCCCATGTTGTCGAGGTAGATCAAAGCGTAGTGAGCATAGGGCAGGTTGACGGTGGCGCGCGAAGGCATCATGGACTTTATTGTATGGTCAGCCTGAGCAGAGTCGCCGAGTAAGTTCCATTACTCACTGGTGCTGTCTCCCATCCAGAGACCTCACTCTTCACGGCAGAGTGGGGTCTCTTGACCGAGCCGGTCCTCGCAAGAGGAGTGTTGAAGACCATGACGAATTTGCGACGGATTTCTCAGAAAGATCCGCGTGGAAAAGGCGTGGTGGTTGTTTGATGAAATAGCGGGTTTTACAAAGTCCAAGTCAAGACCGAGGTGGGTGGAAGCATAAATCTTCTGTCAGGAACTGAGTGAAACGGCACCTGAGACAATCGCGGGGGTGACGTTGATTTGTAGGCGAGTTGAAGGAGGAACTCTCTTTTGCGACGGGGAAGTGACTCAATAGTGCGTTTCTGCAACCCTACTGATCTGGAAATGATGGCGCACTGCGAACGGCCGTGGGTTAGCTCTAGATGTCATGGTTGGGATAGCACCTTTCTTGTTCATGGGGGTTGGAGGAGAGTCAAACATGACTATCCAACCCCGCCCTCCATACCAACGCGGTATGAGACGCCCACCATATGTAGACGCCAGGTTCTATCACACCAACATTGGGTTGGGGCTGCAGAGAGGCTGCGACTCACCTGGTAGCAAGAGCAAACACCACGGAGGGATTGGCCGTCAGGAAGTGGCGGACGGACTGATTGGTATCGAAGGCTTGCAGAGACGCTGCTGGCAACCGAGGCGGGTACACCGGGGAGTCGATGATGTCGTATAGGCAGGGCGTGGGTGATGGTCGTACCAGAGGACGGTTCTGGTTGCACTGGAATGGGGTAACGGCGATGGTGACACAGAGATAGGTGGATATATGTATGTCAGGTAGTACGAGATGATGTCAAGAGGGTCGACGAGGTTATAGTGGAACGGGGGGAAGATAAGATGGGAGTCAAGGAGGACGGGTGTAGTATAGATGGGGATGGTATAGTATAGGATGGTATACTCGGTGTTGGATTGTATACGGTCCACGAGTATCACGCACTTGTGGGAGAGAGATGGATGAGTGAAGAAAAGTGAAGTGAAGTAGAAAAAGGTGCCCAAGGATCTGGATCATCCAGACCCTTATAAGGCAGAGGAGGCAGAGGGAGCGAAAAGGACTGGGACTTTTTCGAGGGAGGACGTCTCAGGTCTCTACAGTTAGTCTCGACTGCGATCGAGATTACATCTGAACAAAAGAACCCAGAACCCATCGCCCACTAACTAACTAACTCCACCCACGGCAGGTCGGTGCATCGGCTGTTCCCTCCCCCCCTCTATCATCAAATCAATCCCAATTTGGCATCGACCGGGGGGGGGGGGAGGAAGAGGTGGTCTCCAGCAGCATGGATGATCCTTGAGCGTATCAAGCCGAAACACTAAGTAACGGACAGCTGCTAAAAAAGCATTGATCCAAACCATCTGCCGCTGCGTGTTTTGGTAAGGCCTTGCAGTAGTAGGGCCATGCTACTTTTCTTTTTTATTTTTCCCTGGACACACTGGGACTCATTTTATTTAATTTCTTAGGAATTTAATTATTTAATGTTATTTCCGTCTCCGCAGTTCTTTTTTCGGCGGAGTTGGTTTTTTTCCCCCCCCCTCTTAATTTTTAATTACATCTTCTTCAGTGTTATTTGGATTTAAATTTGTCTTGAGGGGGGGGGGCGGGGGAACGAACAGTCAGTCCTTTTTCCTTTCCTTTTTTTTTGCTAGTTTGTTTTATTAAAATTCCCCAAAATGTTTTTTTTGTCTCTCCCTTTTCTATCCCCTACTGCCACTGGGCGTACCTACTCAGATTCCGATGCCATAAGTATCTACTGTCAGTGTCAGTGTCAGTGTCAGTGTATAAATCTGTCAATCTGTCCACAATATTGGAGGAATAATAATTACAAGAATAAGAAAGATAATAATAATAATAATAATAATAATAATAATACCACCGGTAATACCCACCCCAATCATAATACGGGAGGTCCTCAGAAGTAGCCCGAATACTATTGGTAGATCGGCCAAACCCAGTGGCTGTGGCAGCTGCTGCCCCAGGGCTTTGTTCGGAGCGGGCCACTCAAAAGCACCCCGGTGGTGGCGCATCGATAATTGATTGGACTCCACAGCCCAGGGAACTGGAAGCTGAAGATGCGACGGTGGTTTCCTCGGAGTTCGTGCGATGGCCATAGTGCTCCCGACTATGTCTGTCTCCTTGTGTCAGGACTCAGGGTGGACTGTGGACATTATTGGGAACATGGGAGTCTGGGATTGCTAACTCCGTACGGAGTACTTAGTACGAGGTTACTGCGGGGAGGTTAGTAAAGTAGGTCGAGTAGTTAGGGGGTTACGACTACGTATCTAATACTATGTATGTACTTTACCCGGTGGTATCGATGGTACCTGATAGATAGTAGGTAGGTAATTTACTATAGGTTAGTGTCCATGTGTACGGACTATCTTACTATTTAGAGGGCCATAAACTGTCATATCTAGTGCACACACACACACAGAGAGAGAGAGAGAGAGAAAGAGAGAGATACATACCACCTCCCCGAAATGGAAAGGGAAAGGCCTCATAATTATCTCCAGTCAGTCACTAGTAGCACCTACTAGATACCACATAGTATCTAACCGCCACCCAAGAAGTCCAGGGATGGCCTTTCCGGGTCACCAATTCCAGCGCCCCGGGACTTTTTGCACGCCAACGGGGCCTCCTGATTGGCAGATCACTCGCCCGCCAAACTAGAACCGGTTTGTTTCTGTTTCCCAATGACACGCGCTCCCCGTCATCGCAACAGACAGGTATCAGGTACTACTTTAGTAGTATCCTCTGAGGATAGGAGGATAGGAGGATAGGACAGGATGGATTCTTGGGCGCTGCGACAACGGCAACGGCAACGACAACGGTCCTTCGTCTCGTCACCCCATTCCGACGTTGGGTCCAGTGACAGACAGTCAGTCGCCAGTCATCAGGAGATCATATCGCATGGCAGGGCAGGCATCGCAGTAAACAGTATCGATAGTATGTGCTCCGTAAAGAGCATACTACTGACCACGATTCTTCGTCCTCCAGCTCACGCCACGACCAAATCCCTTAATTAGCCTACCTCGGATGGCTTGCAGGCTTGTACAACCCAACGCCAACCCAGCCAGACTCCAAAAAAAAAGAAACGTACCTACGGAGCACCCGAAACAAGCGACGTTCGGGGCAGAAGAAGAAGAACCAGTTACCAAACAAGAGATTCCCCGGCTACGCACAGGCCGCGCGCATATCGTCAGGGCGCGCCGCGTCCCACACAGCCTGCGCTTGGGCCAGGAAATGGAAAATCCCCTGGAGAAGTTCTCTACCCTACCTAGGTAAGTAGGTATCTACTCCGTATCGAGTTTGAAGTCCATCTGGCCGATGCGGCGCTGGAAGTGGTCGGAATGTTCCAGTACATGATACCGATCGATGGGTAACTACGCTCTCTCGTCCACACGGCGGATATGGATCCTAAATCCGCAGGCTATTTGTCCCGAAGGTTCGATCTGTGGTGGAGGTAGATAGCCGTAAGTAAGTGAGTGAGTGAGTGAGTACCGCGGAGGTCGTTTCGTCGTTTGGTGGCTATGCGGATATACGCACTGTGGTACTCTCTTCAGGGTTTCTCCAGGTCGGGCTCGCCGAATGAATCGCCACCACCACCACCACCACCAACCACATGGTCAGCTGATACTCTCCTATACGGGCAGACGTAGGGTCCCCGGTATACTGAGATAATAAATGGGCGATCGATGATAAGAAGGTTGGGAGGCTGAGGGAGCTTGCAGCCATGGTTTCAGGTCGGGTACCGGTTTCCGTACATAAACAAAGAACTGGCCTCCACTAGATATCTAGGTACCCTGGGTAGTAGATTAGGTGGTATGCTGCATGCTTCCATACAGGCTTCAAGAAGCGCAAGTCCCTTCAGCCTGCGGAGTCTGGAGTATACGTACGTACCTAGGATCTGGTTACTCCGTCGCATCGTCTTCCAGATGGGTTGCGTAACAAACCGGGAGGGGAGAGTGGTGCCAAGCTTCCCATCCCCAAAGTACCAACAGCATGGCAGGGCCAGGAAGAAGGAGGGCCGAACGGATCTTCGGGCCCTCAATCAAAGGACGGATCTAGGACGATGTGCCCCGAGCTAGTGCCTGGGGGGCGCGGGGCCAATGGGCGGGCGGCGATGCTACCGACGCGAGCAACGATCTGCCAACCGTAGGAACGACGGACGGAATACTGGGCGTGTGCATGGCTGGTGGCCCAGGGGCCTGGGATCAAGGATGATGGGAAATGCCATGGCGTCGACTAAACTCGTTGGGGTAGTACGGTAGAGCTTTCTCGGCCCGTCTCGACGTAAAACACCTGGGAGGCCGTCGTGAGCCACCGCCGTCGTACGTAGTCCCTACCTAAGTGGGGAGGAGCATCTGTAGAGCTACAAAAGGGGAGACGGCCAATTTAACTATGACGCCTAGCGCCAGCCCCTCTAGTGTGAATAATGTTCCGACTGTGGAGGTAGTCTATGGATCGGAAACACTGAAGAATTTGGAATTTGGAATTCGGACGTCGCGTGGCATATCAGATGGGATGCGGTATGCGACAGACGGACCGAGGTCGTTTCTCTCTGTCTATTTACCTCCCTGCCTACGACTCCGTAGATAGCTGGGGCTTCAATCTCCAATTCTTTCTTATTGTCCCGAGGCTGACAGGAGACCACTACTTTAGCGACGCGCCACTGATTTCCCAGACAAAGAAAAGCAATCCGACCAAAAGGCAACAACCCAACCGCCAGACAGTCAGAGGACAGACAGACATTAAGCGAAGGTTTGAGCATCCCGGGTTGTACCAACCCTGAGCTCGGCCCCCCAGGTACCTGAACCGTGGAATTGGAGACGATAAAAGGATCCGACATGGTGGCTTCAGGGAAGATCCGAGACCCAGCAACCAAAATACGCCCGACACTTTAATCTCAGTAGTCGTACTTTGCGCCGAGGTTAAAAGGCGTGGGTAGGTTGCTTAGGCTGCTTCGGGCCTGCTTAGGTCAGTCTGTGCACTTGCTATTCTGGGATTGAACAAATGCTAATTCTTGTCTCATCCCCGGGCTGACACTCCTGCCCCGAGTACCCCCGTCCAGTTGGTGGTGATTCAGGAGACGGACTGCAATCAAACGCCTCGTGTGCGATCTTTCTTTCATCCATTCATTCATTCATTCATTCATTCTCATTCATCCCTTCACTGGGTTCCCGAAAGTACCCCCTGCCCCCCGTGGTCGCCGATGCTTTGTTTGTCTTTCACCCTGTTTCTCGCTTCGGAGGACGACCCCAGCGAATGGCATGGGATGGAATGGCCATTGAAGCATAGGTAGTATTGAACCGCCCAAAGTACGGGACTAGGGATTGATACGCGCAAAAGAAAATATGCCAGGTACAAGCAAACAGCTGCAGGCTATATCTTATCTCCGCCGGGGGAGCAAACAGTGGGCAATCAGCGATGGAGCAATAAGAGTGAGCAAGTCGGAGTGTAATACCCCTCCTTCGTGGAGAAGGATCTTCGCGGATTGGCTCGATTATGAAGCTTCGGCCAATTTCAATAATCACGTCGGGTGTGGCAGGCGACGAGTCGGCTGTCACTCAACACTACACGCAAATGAAACCTGATGGCATCATGTTTGACAGACGTCAGACAGTGCGGGAGCTTGTCAGAAGTACTTCCGCGCCCATGGTCGGGTCTGCCACACCACACGGTACCACCTGCCCGTCCGGTCTGTGATGCAGAGACAGAGGCAGAGACAGAGGCAGATACACACGATGTGAACGCTAATCAAGAGCCAACATCCAAGACATCATGATGTCCAGTGCTGACCATCCCTGCGCGGTGGTCTCTCGGAAAAATGGCCGCCAAGCGGGCAGATGACCCCTTTCATTCCTCCTGGCCCGGCTGACCCGAGTCTAGACCGTTGGACGCCCTCTCCAGCAGTCCAGCTTCAGTCATCGTGTTTGCTGCCTGGCCGATGCGTGCAGCAGCGATGCCATGATAATCCACTGCATTAGATATCAACGTCCACGTCCGCAACGTGGCAGGGGCAATCGCACACGAGCCACGGAGCCTTGCATTGAACGGTGTGCGTGTGCGACGGAGGACACGGGCGATGGTATGGTTACAGGCAGAACCATCTCTCACCGCCACGATATCGACAACAACAGGGTCAGACAGGCTGCATATGTACTTACTCAGGTGCTACACCTTCCCAGGGTGCTGTGTGGTATTTTGTGTTTTCTCGTTCGTTTGTTTCCCAACGCGACCCCTCCATCATTTTCCCCTTTAGTCGGAGAGTCGGGTTACATTATTACATAATTCCCTCACCCCTCACCCCTCACCCCTCACTCCTCCCCAGCCGCCGCTTTACCAGCCAGCCGTATTACGGAGTTCGATACCCATCTATCTATCTATCTACGGAGTAGTTATCACCCCCACTAAATCTCTGTCCTTCTGCACCAAACAGAAAACGGAAGTGCCTAAGGTAGGTACTAAATAGTTACCATCCAGACGGAGTAGATCCTCCAGTCCCGATCTCGAGTAAGCCCCCCCCCCCTAAATAATCCAGCAGAGGCTGATCATGATCATGATCCTGATGGAGGGCAATGTGACGACAATAGTGGGGAGGGGGTGACGGGGGGAAGGAGATTAAGCGTGCGATCAACAGTCCTGATTGGACAGAGCGTGACCTGTCAGACCTCGGAAAAGCCTTGCGCTTTTTCCCCTATGGACGAGTGGCTGGAGCCTTGAGCACACCATGGTCCCCATCTGGCCGCATCGGTCGCTGGGCGGGGACCATCTATCTATCTAGGTAAGGTAAGTAAGCAGTCCTAATCTGGCTAGAGTAATCAGCCCAGGAACCGGCTAGCGAGAGTGAGGCTAGACTAATCACTACTACTGCGTGTGTCTGAATATTGAAGTGCCTCTATTATTGGGATATACTTACTATACTTATTTACCTAGGTAGATATCTAGGTAGCTAAGTAAGTAGGTAGTTAAGTGTCTACGGCTCGGAGATTTTCCAAATCGCTGCCCACACACGCCCACCCACTCACCCACTCACCCATCATAGCAATCCATCCTCCTGAATCGATCACTGTCAGAAGTCCGTTCCATTATTATTCATTTCATTTCCTCAGGCTACCTACCTACCTACCTACGTAGGTACTAGTAAGGTAAGTCTGTAATGTATGTATGTATGTATGTATGTATGTATGTATGTAAGCAAATAAGCGAGCTCGCGCATCGCGGTCCACCACGAGACGAGACGAGCCCTACCGCTTCCTCAGTCCCAGTCCCAGTCCAGTCAGGCATGTCTCCAGATCATATCATATCATATCATATCATATCATATCAAATCATATCGACATGATATGCGGCGAGTGATTTCCGGCAGCATAATTAAGGGCCTTTTGACGGACCGTGTGGTGGGTCAGGATAATACCCTCACAGTACTTATTATTTACAATCTAAGTACACGAAGTCATACTCATGCTCATACTCATGCTCATGCTCATGCTCATGCTCATACCCAGTCAATATACAACCCACACTCACTTTACCTTCTAACTTGCTGGTTCTGGTTCTGGTTCTGTTTGCATATTGTGATATGATATGACATGATACCCGACGGGTGCGGTGCGATGCAGGGCGGTCTCATGACAACATCCATCCATCCATCCGCTCCGCTGCAATGCACCTAAGGACGATACTTGCATTTTCGATGCTCTCGCAGCCGTAGAGCGAAGCGAACGTTCCAAGGCCGACAGACAGTTGCTACGTCATGAATGGGGCAGATGAGGTATGCTGTATGCTGTATGCCGAACTTGACAGAAAACAAAACACCTGGCACCTTACCTACTCCGTACCTTATTCCTTGATAATTGATACTCCCTATCTTGGTTCTTGGTAGGTAACTAGGTAGGTAATATCATCCAGGAACGCCAAATCAACAGGTTACAAGGGCCCCCGGCCAGGGCCAGTCACCACGGGAACATCAAGCAACAAGATACCTAGATAGATAATAACAATTTCGCAATGAATAAAGAAAGAATGTGTGTGTGTGTGTGTGTGTGCCACGCTTGGGAAAAAAAAAACTCCCCACTTGGTGCCTTGGACTAGAACCCATCATTGAGGTTTGGGATCGAGCCAAGCCGACCTAGGCGCGTTAGGTTGTTGTATCATCCCGCCCGAAGCCCGTAAAGTAGGTCAAGGTAAGGTACTTTTGGTTGGTTGTCTAGCTGAGGATGAGATGGGGGTCGTGTCATCACCTTAAACACGAAAATTTCCGAGATACGGAGTATGGGAGAGAAGAGAGACAGGCAGGCAGGCAGACAGACAGTCTAGGCTGTGCTTGGCTGAGCTGAGCTGAGCAAGGAAAGGAATGGATGGGATGGATACTTAGTTTTCGTCCCTGAACGGACAGTACCTTTCCGTGGTACAGTATAGCGAGCGACCCGCGAAGGAGGGTCAACTCAGGAGCGGCCCGAAAGGACGTACTAGCGACTGTCAAAAGGACCCCCCCGAGGAGCGACGCAGCCAGTCATCGGGCTGGAAAGCTAGCGGGGCGGGGGGCGCGGCCCGGGGAAGAGTGGACCGAACGTCCCAACGCTTGTCATG